TCGCTCTCACATCCCGTCCGCATAACGAGGTTACCGAGAGGTTGAGCAGCTCCTGACATCCATTATTTATACCACGAACAACGTGACGAGACTGGCAAATGAAAGGATACACGAGAGGATGGCCAATGGTTGAGAAACATGGCTCCTCTTCCTGCCAACGCACGTGTGTGCTTGTCACATGCTGTCACGAAGCTCAAGATGAAAATAGCCAAGTTGTTGTGGCACAGAGCCCTTTTGTTTCCAAGGTATTTCAAGAAATGGCATAAAATAGCTTGCCTCATGCCAGTGAGAATGCCTCAACACCAAAGTTCGTCGCGTATCATGTGTCACTTTTCCCGGGTTCAGACTATCATAAGTATCATTTAAAATAATATTCAGTAGGAAGAACGAATGTCCATTAACATTGATAACGATATAAAAGGGGTAGGCATAATTGCTTCAAAACCTTGAAAATGATTTTACATTATCAGTGATAAAATATTCGAACAATTACTATGGTAAGAGCTGGGTTATTGATCACAATAACAGATGAACTCATAAATAAAATTAAATCTTTAAAGACGTATATCAATAGCCTAAATCGTACAGTATCGGCAATGCTCAGTAATTCAATTTAACCACAAAACTAGTAACTTACTTCCCATGAACTTATACCACAAAGAGTTCATCAATTAATCAGATTGCCATTTAGCGCTACTCAATAACTACTATACGAATCATCACATGTCATTCCATGCTACTAGTCACAAAGAATAAATTAACCAAGTCCCCAAAATGATACCATCATATAAAAACGCAGCAATACAAATAGTCAAGGCCAACTGACAACTTATCAATAAAATATCGGCTGACGCGACCTTCTGTTAAGAGGTTTCAGACTTTCAGTAAAGAAAGTATCGGTAACTCGACCTTTAATTTAGGTTGTAATATAGGTAATATCGGACAATGCGACCGAGAGCGGTTAATTAATTTCATTAGGTACGATCCCACAGCCGGTACTATGACATAGGCAACCCAAGGCATAAAGAACAGCATGAGCACCAAGATAAAAGTCGTGGGAATAGCAGTGCCACCCGATAACCTAATATCATTCTTCTTAGTGCCGACCGGCTGGGACTAGGTTAAAGTTTATAATCGCATTTCCCGATTAACGTTCTCTGGCAGATTCCCACCAGACTGACGTTTCTCTCTTGATATCGAGTTCCCTCAGGTCTTTAGTTCTCTTACGTGGCATCGTGACTAACCACGAAATATTACAGTATAAGGTGCGCCTGTAAGGATATTCTCTCCAGAACCACTTTAGGAACTGACACCGCCGATATAATATCTTTAGTCATTAACCTGGCCAGCACCGTGTTCCTGCCCTCTGCAGCATCGATGAAGCATTGAGAAATAATTAGAAGCGTCGTTGTCGTTGAGTTAGGTTAACAATTACTATCAAATACTTCCAGATTTCAAGAAAATTTTCATAAAATATCAATACGGAATTTTACATATAGGTACTCCATTTACTGAGGTTAAGTGAGCTGTGATTAACCTAACCTTCGTGGATAAGGAATTAAGATTCAAATACCAATGCAAAATTTTTAATAAAAATCGTAGTTACACCAAAGTTCTAGAAATTTCTTCCAATTCGTTTGATGGTGACATGAATATCATCAGGATAATCGATAATAGAGTTCCAGATACATAATTAAAGTAAACATCCGTTGATTAGCATCCAATACAATATACTAACTAACAACCCGCATAGGTGTACTCATTGATGGATGATACATAGCATCTGTTCTCAGGGAAATGAAGAAGTTGCGTTAAGAGTTTCTAGCAATTATAAACAGCGGTACACAATGCCAGATTTATAACACTCACAGTCACAGGTAGGACTATGACAATGAATCTCAACCCGGCATGTTGTTCGCGTGCGCCAATGCACGCTTAGTCACAATACTAAATACAGTATTACTAGGATGTAAAGAGGCTTAAAGTGAGTTAAACACACACTTTCAAGGACCGTTTTCTCAATACTTAATACACAGCTTAGAAACATCTCCAAGAATTTCTGAGATTACAATTTTTAACAGTTTTAAATTCACATAATAATGGGCAAAAAATGTATTAGAAACAGTCATTGCAACAAAAAGGGTTCACTATCAAATGCTTTATTTTGTTGTTCAGATATATGGTATTACTATTGGCATTTGGCAGTAGTGTCATACCAATACCTTGGCATTCACAATCACAGATTCTGCGAATCTCCTGTTGCACAATCCTTGTGATTTTTGCAGCGCTCAATTAGGTTCGGACTCGGAGTGCTAGGTACCTACGTATTAGTTGAAGTAAGATTAAGAGGTCGATTTGCAGCAAACGCATATCTCATTCTTACTTTAGTAGTCAACAAAGATCACATTTAATGAGAACTTCACTAAAAAATGACCACTTCATTTGCTTGTCTAAAGATGGACGAAATCCAGAAGTTTCTTTGTCACCAGCTATCCAATTAGCAAAGAGCTGGGCATACTATGTTATTTGTAAACCTAAGAGCATCTGCTCAAATCATAATTACGATCATTCAAGTTTTACTACGAAAAGTCAGATTTTGAATTGAGATTTCTAAATGTATTACCGACTGATGGAAGAGGGTCTCGACTCTCGGTTGATAGTTGCAACTGAGTGTTAGCAAAGGAGCTAAGGCAACTTTCGTTATCGAACGAAGTTAAAGTAGACTTTCGCAACCAAAACTCAGGAGTAAATAACACAACTTTTACAGATAAAGGCACACGTCACACAGCGACCACCAATAAAGCCATTGCTCTGACTAGATGAAGCCAAGCCATCGGATGCTATCTGTTAGTTGATAAAGAAGAACTACTAGAAGCTCAGTGTCTGCAAGAGCGCACTCCGACACATCCTCACTCGATCATGGCTCGCGCACAGCTGTTTAGTCCACGGCGCATGCCTCCATTCGCCCTTCAATTGCATGGTCTGGAACGAAGAATACTTCTGGTGGAGGGCCGAAGTGCCAACTATTCTTCACTTACATTGCAAGGGCAGAATATTTTTGTAGAACGTGCTATAGAAAGCAACTGAATTGTGTGAATGTCAAATAGTTTCAATTTGGTATTGACTCAATTCATCACATGATGATAAGATAAAAGTTAACGTTCCATTATTTACATTCAATATTCCGTATTCGGCATCAATCTACTTAGTTTTGCTTGTGTTCAATTTCATTCATACTTTAAAATTTTTCGCAGCCCAAACATTCGTTTAAACAGAGCAGCAGCGGTGATAGCTACGCCTCATGCTTTTAAATCTATTTGGTATTCTATCCCGATTTGACTCTCTTTCAGAAAAACTCATGTAGAACTTTGATTTAAAATATAACTGTTCGTTTACGGACTTCCACCAGCATCTTCAGAATCAATCTCTCCTAATTTCATATACGTATCCTGAAACGTAACCGTGCATATCTTTTTCATCTTTGTGTCTCATGTGCGGGAACTGGCAGGATCAATTATCTGCGCGTGTGCTTGTTCAGTGCATACAAACATTCCTCGTCTGATTCTCTTAAACATAGGGTAACATGGGGCAGCAAGCCCACTGAGGGTCATGGGCCCATAGCGGGTTTCTCGCTAAGTATGGCAGATATTGGTCCGTGTTCTCTACCGCCGGTCGACAGTTTCACTAGGATGAAATGTACCGATTTACGTTTTGTTAAGTGTTTGCGTTGTTAAGTTATTTGTGAATAACTGTTTCAGCCCAGATAAAAGTTTTTTTGCTGCTAAATAAAACTGTTTTCGATTACTGCAGATGAGGGCTTTTGAAATTACTGTGAAATATATATTGAAATTCATATTTATAGGGATAATTTTGAGATCAAGTTTAGACTATTAGCTTTTAAAATAAAATGTTGACACGATATAAATTGAAATGATACCTAGTGGGGCAACGGGCCCACGCGTGTCACGGGGCAAAGCGCCCATGGGTGAAGTCTTGTGTTATACATCATTAGATTTGTCTCAATGACCATTTCAAAACTATGACCAGCTTTTTGAATTACAAATTACACTTCATATTGCAAGATTTTTTGATTTGCCGCTTCAAGGCAGCAGGTTTAGTTTCTAGTTATGCGTATTTATGACCCCTTATCGAGTTATTGACTCTTGCCTTGCCAAAAGTTGATTTCAGTCAACACCAATGAGCCAGAAGTTGATGAGTTTTTATGGTGTTGGCTGAAATCACGATTAGGTGCAAATTCTCTGCACATAATATCTGAATTATGGACGAAACTGGAACGAAGTATTTTTCTGATCAACTAAATATATTTTTCCTATTCAAGGATTGGTTTTATACGTTTTGACATTTTTTATTGTAAATCCTCAAATCATCATGAATACTAGGCTCAATAGTTAACTACCAAATTACGATGAGATTCGGGTATCCGGCTGCCTAGTTTTCGAAATTTAAGGTTTCATATATTCGTGCAACATTTTAGATATCAAATTGTTTGTCTGATGTGGTTGGTAAAGAATATTCTTTAAATTCTCTGAATAAATTTAAACCGTAAAGGTATTGAGTTCAGTCTCATGTGCAATGTACCGTATATATTCATATACAAGTCGCATTGAAGAATGAATTCCTTCTATTCATCTATGCAGCTCTTTGAAGTCTCAAAACATTACTCTTCTCTTCAATAAAAATAAGAAGAAGATAAACCATTGATTTCAACAAATTTCCATACTTTGAGTGAAACATGGAAACTGAATTTTTATGTTATTTTCGTACTCGCTTTAACGTTACGTTGTTTCAGAAAAGCTTTGTTCTGCAATAACAGTGTTAATAGAGAAGCAAATGTTTGATAGAGAATTTTTAATCTTCCAGGCTTCCATAAATCGAATTTATTGGCTTCGTGTAAATCTACCCTATAATCAAAGTAAATTCTTGAAGCTGCTGGAGACACTTTAATGGAGTAACACTTCAGGATATGGAAAACGCTGTAATAATGCAGATCAAATATAATAAAATATTTCAGAATTTTTAATTTGAAAAGAGCGCGCAATGGCAAATTTCCAATAATCTTGTACCAAGTACAATGCATTTAAGAAAACAATATGATGGCAAAATTACCACATATTAAAGAATACAATAAACTGAAACTCCTACTATTACAAGAATAGCAGTAAGTTCCCAGCTCAATTGGGCAATCACGTTTTACTGGCAGTAACCATCGAGGCATCGACCTCCGCTATAGCAAGGTGTTCCCTCCAGAGCAGGGAACTGGAAAGTCTTGATGGTGCTGCCCCAGCGACACCTCAAACTATAGCAGTGGGTTTTGGCAGGCACGCTTTTGTCCGCGTATGCTCCAGACTGACCCATGTAGTACTGACACTGTTTGTCAAGAGTGATGCTTTGTCCTGGCAAGATCTGGTTAAACGGATAGTAGGTAGGGTTGGTGTTGCTCTTGAGACACGTCGCGAACTCTTTGAAGTAAATAGCTTTCATGGCATCCGAAGAGCATTGCGAAAACCGAAGACTTAAGTATGAATTTGCTATGTAGCTCATCAGATAACCCGCACTCCAAGGACACTTGGCTGACGTACCATCTCCGTCGTGCGGTGCTCCAAGGGTGTGTCCCATTTCATGCGCCGAGTTCAGAACTCCGTAGTAGTATCCGTTGTCTTCAGCCACTCCAGTGTTGGACGCGATTCCAGATGAAATCATACACACACTTCCGACGTAGGCCAATCCAGCGAAGTTTTTCTTCACGACGCCATTCTCTACATCATAAAAATCACGGCCAGACATCAACTGAGCCGCGTCAAAACGATTGATTTTTCCACTTGAAACCTGTGATCCTACGTACTTTCCGAAAAGAGTTAGACTATTACGTATGTGAGAACTTGAAGTAGAAGGAGCATGCATAAAATAGCTGTCAACTGTCACTGATGTAGAAACCCTTATATCCGTCAGTTTTAAATTTATTGTAGCACCTTGCACAGTTTTGAATCTTCGGTTCACCAGATACCAGTAAACTCTGAGGTAAGAATCCAAAGCGCTAACCGAAGAGAAGCGGTTTAGGAGCACCGAGTCAGCGTACACAGTTAGTTCGACCACGTATGATGGGTTTTGTCGCGTGTCTGATATTGGACTATCTGTGCTGTAGATATCTTCTTGGGGGATTTCAGCCGAACTCGTCGCGCAAAATTTACCGCTTGGTCCACCTGATTTGGATGCGATGTACGAATTATTTTGAAAACGCAGTCCTACAAAGTCGGTTAGTGCGCCTTCAAGGTTTCCTTCGCCGGTCAAATAAAATAGCGATCCGGTGTTTTCATCTGAGAAAAAATGATGTTTTTCGGCTTTGGAAGAGACGTTAACCGATTCGATAGTTCCATTTGGTCCCAGAATCAATTCTTGAATGCGTACTGATGGGATTTTCACCTTTTGGAGAATCAAGTTATGGGTTTCTTGGAATGCTTCCACAGTAGCGAAAATTTTGGACTCCGTTGACCTTTCATGATGAATTCTGACCGTCGCTGGACTAAACTCCTGATCTCCTTTTCCTACGGTGAGCAATGCAGACATGACCAACATCAGCCACAAGTGCGATATTCTGTACGATATCCTCATGGGAGGACTGGGTTTGTTGTGCATTTCGTATGAAGAAAATATTATTTTACCCGTTGTGCAGTGTTGCAATGGCTGTGTGTCTTGTCTCAGATTCAAGAGGAAGTGATGCCGACTCGGCCACTGACGCTATTTATACCTCCTGTACGAATTTTTGGAAGTAGTAGATGTGCGCGGCTTTTTCTAAAGAAAGGCGTATTCACACGACAAAGAAAATATATTTCGCAACCACCTGTTGCATTCTTTAAAAAGTGACCAATTCAATTCCGCTACAACAAGCTATTCGAACATTTGGGAATGATTGAGTGACTCGATTAAAGCTTGGTACAATCATTTCAATGATTTGAAAAGCTATACAATAACATATCGAAAAAATTGTTCAGCAGAAATAATACAAACTTTGAAAACAAAAGAAGAAAAATGCACTTTGTGGCCTTCAGAATTTTTTGTATGAATGCGTCAAACACATGTTAGAATGGAAGGGTCATTTCCATAAATTATATATTTCAAAAGAGGCGAAGAGTGAATAACGACTGATACTTGGACGAGTTCAAATCCAGGGCACTATTTCGATGCATGTTCGAGCTTTAACCATAACTCACCTGACTGAAGGAAAACTTTGGAAATTGAAATAAACTATCCTAGGTCGCAAAAGCTATAGTTACGCTGTTTAGAAAACATCATACAATTTTGTATAGATTTAAAAAATCGACATTGAAATGATGTTCCGAATGTTGCTCAATTCGATTACTGGAGGGAGTTCGCCGTTTTCAACTACCACCATTTCAAATTATCTACACATTTAATTAATTAACAGTTTTACGAGTTTAATTAACAGTCCTCGTAAGTTTGTGAGCAGACATGAACACGTTCATTCACCAGAGGATAATTTCACTACGATTTTTGAGGTGTCTCTTAGATCTCCCAAAAATCATTCGAAATTTTATTATTTTTTTTAAGTTATTGAAATTCGTACGAATGAATAGACGCAATTGTATTTGTGATTTATAACTTTCATTTTTCATTCAGCTCTTTGCAAGCCTATAGAACGAAGTTGGTTGGCTCCAATGGATACCGAGGCTACTCGGGTCGTCACCACAAGCTGTAAGGACAGTCGATCACTCAGTTTTAAGGACAGCTCCCAAAGATTTATGATTTAATTTAAGTTAACAAAGACTGGTTGTATGATTAACATATATTAACATATATACAGGCAGCATTATTTTGAAATTTTCTCCATTTTTTTGTAAATAAATAAAATAAATAATAATTACAATTGATAAGCGAAAAAATTATTTAGGGAGCTTTAAAATACTCTAGAAGAGCTTATATTTCCTTAAATAGGCCTAATGACGCACTCCTGTTTACCGAAAAAGTGTAGGGATAAAAGGCTTTTGAATTAATTGACCATCTGCACGCGACCTTTTTTTCTCTTAAAGTTAAATGTTTCGAAATATCAGTTGAGCCAAATTGAGTTACACAAATTTTGTACTCAGTTTTCTTCGTTTCATAAGAAGACACAGCTGGGGAGAGGTCCTAGTTTTTGCGACGCAGACTTTATTTTTGAGTAACTATCTTCAGTTATTAGCCGTTCTCGACACTATAAATCCACATTTGCATCTGCATTAAAATGGTCACTAACAAATTTCAGTTGTAGGGAAGCGGAAAAATGTTCCGCATTTTCACTTAGATAGTTGATCCTAACCAAGTACGAGAAGTATTTGTATAAATGTAAAAAATGAGGCAAGCTCCAAGTTTCATATCTTATTTTGATGGTTGGTTTAGTTAGTAAAACTTAGTACAAATCATTGACAATATCCATCTATACATTGTCCTCCACTCTGACAGGGAGTTCCTTCCAGAGCGGGAACGCCTAATTTGGTAGTCCAGGTGTACGGAGCCTCGAAGTACTTGCACTGCAACTGAAAACAATGATTCTGGGGTTGTATGGTGGTATCGGCGTACGCGTAGGGTTTACCTGTGTATTGCTTGCATTGCTCGTCCAAAGAAAAACGTGAGCCTGGCAAGTTTGGATTAAATGGAATGTTAGTAGAGCTCGAGATAGTCTTCAGACATCCAGCAAAATGAGCGAAGTAAATGTTACAGATAGCTCTTGAGGCACACGTGGAAAACCAAAAATTTCGGTAGGAGTTCTTGATGTAGCTCATGATATATCCATGAGAAAAGGGACAACTCACGGAAGCGCCGACTCCATCATGAGGAGCTCCCAGATTGTGACCGATTTCGTGGGCGGTGATTTGCGTTCCTTGGTAAAAGCCTTTATCCTCTGATAGGCCTGTGTTGTAAGCGCCCAAAAAATTCACCTTGCATACACCAGCCTCGTAAGCCGATCCTGACACTCCGTAGATCGGGCCTGTGATGCCCATCTTGAATAAGTCGCGGCCGGTCATCAAATGAGCTACATCGAATGAGCCAAACGTTGCACTCCCGTAGTGGATCCCCAAGAAGTATTTCAGCTTCTTAATGCTGACGTCGATGTCGGCGTATGTGGCAGAGTCGGCATCCATGAAATTTCGATCGGTAATGGTCGAGGTTGAAATATATATATCAGTTAAAAGTAGGTTTACTCTTGCACACTTAATGGTTGCAAATCTCCTGTTGACCAAATTCCAGTAAATTTTAAGGTAGTTGGATAAAGCAGTGTTCGAAGGGAACTGCAAGGCCAATACCGAATCCACAAGAACTGTCACTTCAACTGTGTAAGATATGGCCGTTCGAGACTGTGTTAACAGACTTCTCTTCATTTTCTTGGAAATAAAATGTGATTTCACTAAGCAGGAGTCCCCGCTTGTCTTTCCAATCTTCGAAGCGATATGCTTGCCGTTCTGAAATTTAACGCTCAGAGATTCGGTCACGGCTCCTTCTAAAGTGTTCTCGTCATTCAAGTAGAACAACGATCCTTTTTCTTCATCGCGGTAGAAGTAGCTTACTGTGCTTCCATTGTCAGCTTCCAATATCGCAGTTACATTTGGTCCGGGTACCAGCCGATGCAAACGCACTGATGGTAGCCTGATTTTGCGTAGAACCAATTCGTGAGATGTGTTGAACGCAGAGATGCTGACGAACATCTTCGTCGCGCTCGACCTTCCATGATGGATTTGTACGAAGGCTTGAACTTGTTCCGGGTGTTGATGTTCTGCCAATGCCAATGCAAATAACACAAACCAAAAGAAAAATTTCACGACAAGAAATTTTTTTGGATTGAAAGTCATTTTATTATAGAGAACTTAAACTTGCTATACCCGATATTCACTGCTTAAACGTGTTCTTCTCGTGGACACCACGTCGAATGAAGCATTTCAAAAATCGTGTTCCTTTTATATATCTCGGAAAATGCTCATCTGATTATCATCTTTTTTTTTTGTATTCACGACAACTTCCTGAGTTTTGAGATTTTGAATTCAGAATTAATAATTAGTTGCGGTTTGATGTCGGATAATGAGCTTTTTACGTAATCGTATCGTCTCTGGTATTTATGTTATATATCACAGTTTGCCGTAGAAATTCATCTGTGGTAGCAATGCATACTTCACATAATCTTATTTGATGAACGCAGCATAATTGATTAGAGTTAGCATTTCAATTTTGAAACAGTATTTCTGGATTTAAGAATAAGTGGAAGACCCATGAGTTCAACAAATTCTTTCTGAACGAGTATTAGGATTTTTTTACAATTTTACTTATATTACTTCAATTCATCCTTTAAAAAGTGTAGTTCATGCCTCTGATAGACAGTGCTGAGAAAGAATTGTTATGGATTGAATGTTATTTATATAGAAATTGGAAGTTGAATTACCTACAATATAAGTTCAAGTAACATTACAAGGTTTATGCATTGCACAAATATTGTCGTTCCTGTCTTTGTTAGGGTCTCGTTTGTCTTGAATTTTGTTCTGGGCCAAATCGAATTTCAAATTTCAAGATAAATTATAAAAAGGTTTCAAATTAGACATCTACTTATATTTTATTGGAACAAAAAATGCATGAAGTTGTAACTAAAGTTAGGGCATATTGAAAGGTTAGTGAATATTGAATGTTTCATGATGATTGAAACCAACGTTTATATTATATTAGACTAATTTAAAGAAAACAATTTCTGAAATTGCAAACTTAGCAAGCGTTTCGAAAGATGTTTATTTTTAAAAGTAAAAATTTAGCGAAGACGCGAGTGAAAGGTTCATGTAACGCGCTCAAAAAATATCAGATCCGTGAATGAGCGATTAAAAATTAAAGTTCCTAACTTCATGATAGGTGCATATCTTCGATAGAAATTGTATGTTTGGTTTCCAGCCAACGAACTTGGCCATATAACTAGCACACATGCCTGCTAGTAAGAGTTCCTGTAACTGAGAAATATGATCGGAACATGAAGTTGGGCTGCATTCCGATCCACGAATGTAATTAACATAATGCTTAACATGATAATTAGTTCAATTAGTAATTATTAGTAATTAATAATTAATTAGTAATTATTAGAAATTAAAGTGACCACGAAATGTAATGTGCGGCAACCAACAGGTTCTGTGAGGTAAATTGATGGACTTTCCATTGAGCGTAAATTGAGTGAGAACATAAGCTCTTAATTAATTATCATATTGTAAGTATATTGAATTAAGCTCTTAATTAATTATCATTGTAAGTGGTCTGCCTGCATGATCCTAATCAAATTCCACTTTCTCGTATCTACCCTTGTTATTTAGCATCACATTTGCTGTTGAGAAGCAATTTATTGTAGGCAAGCGTCTGGAAGAAAATACATTTATTTTTATATTGCGGTTAGTTTAGTACAAATGGGTACAATTTAATGTTTTGAAATCGGTCAATGCTGTGAAATAAGTAAAATGTTTGAACTCATTCTGATGGAGTTTACTGATGTATTGTATCGTCGTGATGTGAGAAACATCTTTTATGTCCTATTTTATTGAGAACTAGAAGTATAATGGACTTGAAATGTGATAATGAAATAAGCTACTGTATGACTGATACTCTACTTATTATTATTTCTCAAATATTGATCAGTTGCTTGTAGACAATTAATGATCGTAAATATATTGAAATATTTGTGAAT